GCACTCCGGTTTTCTCCGAAATCACCCGGAACACTTCCGGTGTCCGAATATAGTCGTCCAATATATCAATCTTTATGTCTCGACCATTTCGAGACTCCTCGTCATGTCCGTGATCACATCCGGGACTCCGAAGAAACTTCGGTACATCAAAACTTGTAAACTCATAATAAAACTGTCATCGTAACGTTAAGCGTGTGGACCCTATGGGTTCGAGAACTATGTAGACATGACCTAGAACTATTCTCGGTCAATAACCAATAGCGGAACCCGGATGCCCATATTGGTTCCTACATATTCTACGAAGATCTTTATCGCTCAAACCGCATAACAACATACGTTGTTCCCTTTGTCATCGGTATGTTACTTGCCCGAGATTTGATCGTCGGTATCCAATACCTAGTTCAATCTCGTTACCAGCAAGTCTCTTTACTCGTTCTGTAAAACATCATCTTATAACTAACTCGTTAGTTACAATGCTTGCAAGGCTTGGGTGATGAGTATTACCGAGAGGGCCCTGAGATACCTCTCCGACAATCGGAGTGACAAATCCTAATCTCGAATTATGCCAACCCAACATGCACCTTCGGAAACACCTGTAGAACACCTTTATAATCACCCAGTTACGTTGTGACGTTTGGTAGCACACAAAGTGTTCTTCCGGTAAACGTGAGTTGCACAATCTCATAGTTGCAGGAACTTTGTATAAGTCATGAAGAAAGCAATACCAACATACTAAACGATCAAGTGCTAGGCTAACGGAACGGGTCATGTCAATCACATCATTCTCCTAATGATGTGATCCTATTAATCAAATGACAACACATGTCTATGATTAGGAAACATAACCATCTTTGATTAATGAGCTAGTCAAGTAGAGGCATACTAGTGACTTTATGTTTGTCTATGTATTCACACATGTATCATGTTTCCGGTTAATACAATTCTAGCATGAATAATAAACATTTATCATGATATGAGGAAATAAATAATAACTTTATTATTGCCTCTAGGGCATATTTCCTTCAGTTCTTTTCTTGTACTTTAATAATACAAAAACTAATAAAACCATGGTAGGGAAACCTACTATATTCCTAAAAGAATATGATAGAACTATAACTGACTAGCCTGGAACTCCGGAGAGAACTTTGCACTATAAGTAATTTGGAGCTATTTCTAACACTTATGACGCAGTTGTCCCACAAATATGAAAGATTCTACTGTCATTTCAAATATAGGTGTAGGTCATCTCGCAATACTCTGGTACGTTGGAATTTAGTAACTATGGAAAAAAATATTGAATTAAAAAACTGAAAATTGCACAAGAATTATAACGTTAAACAACACAGAAATGGGCTCCTGTTGTTCTAATAATGCACCTTCCATCTACACTTTCTATAATTTTGTACTAACGGGCTAGTTAAGAATCAAGAAATCACATGTTTGGCATGTAAAAAGTGTCCAAAATTACCTGTCAGTACAGGTTGGATGCTACCGAGAACGAGCATGATGGCGAGAACGGGGCAGAGATCCGCCACCGCATCCGAAACTGCTTCACCATCTGTGAACAAGTAGCTGATGTGGTTGCGAAGGCAGAGGATCACAACAGCAAGGATAGTAGAGATTGCTGTAGAAATCCCGGTCACCACCCACACAGAGAAAAATGCAGACTGGGGTTTGCCGGCGCCAAGCTCATTGCTCACTCTTACATTGATGTGAAAAGGTATCTATTAGTTAGTGAGGACTTACCTACTAATGTTTATATATGCTTTAGTAAGAAATGCTAATATTTATCAAGGCCTTTCAGTATAGACTTGCGAACCTTGCAGCTGCGTTGAACCCTACTGAGATCATAAACACCCAACCATAAATCATCATACTGCACCGGCCAAACACACACATCATAGTTTAATCAGCATGGACTATGAAGATTGATTTCTAGGAACAACAATAAGACATCTATTATCATGTAATAGAAGTCATGTATATGACAACGGTTAAGAATACTAAACAGGTGGATAAGCGTGCCATAGACAATCATAGATGAAGAAAGGGAATGATTTTTTCCTCTATATGTGCGAAGGTTTGAAAAAAAAACTAGTAAGGATTGCATGTTTGGATGCATCTTGATGCATGGCATTTTAGTAACCAAACCTAACCGCAATAACACTAATCTGACATCTCTCTAATGCGATCTTATTTTTTGGTGTACAATTTCATAAGGACAGTGAACAGAATTGATAAGAAAGAACACAGTCAAAGTTAATATTACAAATCTGCTAAAACCTAAAAAAATTGAAAATCTAGCCGGGACTCCCGCGCATTTGCGCGGCTAGATTTGAGATACTATTTTATTATTTAATTTTCTCTCTGTGGTTATTATTTTATACTACATTAATATTGATCTACAAAAATAGTCAACATTTACATCTTGTGAAAAAGTACTTAAACTTTGGTACACATTTTCCCCTATTTTGTATTAAGTTGTTGGCAAAGACTTTCGTATGTGATGGTCAAAGAACAAAAGGGTCGTCCTATAAGTCCCATAATCTAAAACCATTAGTACTCAGACTATCTTCAAGCTTTCCCTTGATATTTTTTCCCAAATATTATTTTAGGGAGATTCAGAGAAAATCTAAAAATTGATGAAACTTGTTATCCATTCCATCACCAGTCCCGTATTTGTACATGTTGCAATTATGGTTTCTTTATTAATGCCATATCATACATCATAATTTGCATCGATGTCTTCTTGTCTTACTCTAATTATCTATTTGGCTTTCCATTCTCAATAATCATAGCTATCGGTGGATGCTTCGAAAATGGTAAATGGCCCCTCACATGTACTCATCATAACTTGTTATTTTTATGGTACCCACGGTATTGCTTTCTCTATATCCATATCTTCCCTAGTGGCCAAATATCATAAGATTTTTTTCCTGCCATATAGAGAAACAAACTTAGGAAGAAATCGTTGTATTAATTGCACTATTATTTGTAAAAGAAGGATTTTAATTGTTTAAATTTTATAAGTGAAAGAAAGTATGTTATTTTATCCGCATCTTAAACTTCTACATATTTTACAAAAAATGTTCACTTGTATTCTTGACCGGCCGTGACTGCACATATATCAATTTCAATTTTAATTGATGTAGTTGGTGTCTTTTTTGTTTATTATTGGTTGGATGATATTTGAATTTGCCTCTTCTACAACACCATTGATGTGTATGTTTACAGAGCATTTCTTTTATTGTTGGGCTTCTATTGTCGGCCTTGCGGTGTCTGATTCCTATGTACCGCATGCAAAAGCATTTCCTTTATATTTACCGATAGGTCTTGTCATGTCCTTGTCCGTGTGTGCCTCATGTATTGAATCATAAATGGGGAAAATTCTCTTCGCGTGTATTTTTTTTTTCGGTTACGTGTCAAGCTAGCGTTTTACTTACTTAATGCGTGGAGACGCTTTTTTGGGGCGTAGGGTGTCTTGCTAGTACGTGATTAATGTTATGTGTGTTTTCCCCATCTTAACGGCTCTATGTTTCCACTTACATATACGGGAAATATAAGCATAATTTCTGCATGTTTTAATCTCAATTGCTATAATTAGAATTAATGAATCCATTTTGATTTTTTACAGTTAATTATCTATCTTTATTACATATACGGGAAATATAAGCATAATTTCTGCATGTTTTAATCTCAATTGCTATAATTAGAATTAATGAATCCATTTTGATTTTTTACAGTTAATTATCTATCTTTAGTATTTAGATTTATGCATATGTTATTTTTATTCACTAACATTTCAAAGTTTGAATTTATAATTATTGTGTATTGAACACCAAAGTATTTTTTATGCAAAACCAACGCTTCTGTGTGAGCTTCTATAATGTTATTAATTTTTAAAATATCTATGTCGATTATGCACTGCCGTATTTTTCTTAGCTGTCCTTCCTTGCAAGCTTGTAATCCATCAGCGGAATACTACATTCTGTTCTCGTAGCTAATGAGCAAAAAAAGTTGATGATTGCTTCCGCTGACATTATCTCACCATTATCAGCAATAATTTGCTTGCGCCAATCAGATTGGCTCGTCCGTAGGAGTACAATTAAGGAAGTGCTAGCTAAAAAAAGGTTGGCCGCTTCCTTGCTGATATGAGCATGAAATTATTAACTTAATTAGCATATGAATCGGACTGACTCCTTTACACATGATATATGTATGTACACATGTACGTTTTTAATCCGAAGTGAAAAAGTTGGCTTTTGCCTGTGAATAGAGAATGTTTTTTATCCCAGCGCTAATGTAGTAATCTGAATTGATTTTACTTCTACTCAAAATAGAAGTCCGGATGTAGTACTCTGGCAGGACTCTTATTTCCTACAGGCCGCTCCGACACCTTTTTTTTAGAATCACCGCTTTGACTCTGGCAGCCGTGCCTTTTGTTAGTTGTCTTGCAGCTGTTTTTCTTTTTCTGGACTCTGACTCATCTTTTTTTTTGACAGTTTTTCTTTCCTAAAAAGACATCTGTACATACTATTCCCTGCAGATCTTAGCCGTTCCTTTTAACTTTTACTTTACCACAACATCTCATCCGTTCGTTTTCTATCGTTTTAAATACATAATAGATAGATGCTAATATTTATTAAGGCCTTTCAGTATAGACTTGCGAACCTTGCAGCTGCGTTGAACCCTACTGAGATCATAAACACCCAACCATAAATCATCATACTGCACCGGCCAAACACACATCATAGTTTAATCAGCATGGACTATGAAGATTGATTACTAGGAACAACAATAAGACATTTTTTAATATCGAATGATACTCACCATATAGAGAGGGAATCCAGGGCAATCTCATGGTTGCGGAGCAATACATGAATGATCACCAGCACCTGAAAGTACCATGTATCAAGGCACAACATCACGACAGACGCGGCGGAGAGCTTGAAGAAACTCGGCAAACTGGAGAAGGCCTGCCAACTTAACCCCGTCCACGTGTGCCAGCATGTTGGGGTGACGACGATGTACGCAAATTGCGCGGCGACCATGATCCACCAACTCACGCCCAGCACCAACGAGGCACCGAGCAGCCCAAGGCCAAACTTGTATATGAGCACCCATCTCAGCAGCACATGTAGAACGAGTGTTGCCGTTGATATGTAAGCACTCGGTAGGACGATGCTCTGTGCATGCAGGAACTTCTGAATTGGGAAGTTGATGGCATACACGAAGATCTAAGGAATCAGGCCATACACGAAGATCGAAGCGGCACGAGCTATCTCTTGTGACTGTCCCATCAACAAGAGGAGTGGCTCCGAGAAGGCATACATCACAGCAAGTAGTATGCCGGTTAAGCACAAGAGAATGACGGAGCGTTGCAGGTAGATTCCGAGCATGTCGTACTTGTGTGCACCGTAGGCCTGCCCGCACAGGGTCTCCATTGCAAGCCCAATTGCAAAAACGTAATGTCTTAATTGTTAGGATTGTCACAGATTGCGTTCTAGCTCACTTTTTAGCTTAGGTTTAGGCAAATTAGGAGTACTTGGCAAAAAAAAAGGAAAGACACAGCTGGTAGCGATTACTATTATTTAGAATATGGAATGTGATTATGGTTCACAATGGTCTACCCCAAGTACACTGTGTTGCAGAAATACATCCTTAATTCTGTTCCTAATTTATCTTCATTTGGAGTTTCATGGAGCTACGTCTCTCTTGATCAAATTCATCATTATGAGTTTCATATTGTTCCCTCCATGCCCTCTCATTTTTGTTCTTACATAATTTGCAAACAGATTTTGTATTTTTGTTAGGAAATAGCATCTGAACATGTTTGATTTGCTCGGTTTCCAAGCAGACTTCTTATACTGCAGTATAACACTAAGTAAATGTACAAAAACATATTAAAAACCAACAAAATAGCTCATAAAATTAATGAATCGACAAATAAGGAAAAACTTACTAAATAACACAAAAACATTAATGAAAAATAATGGGCATTAAACATTGAAGAAAAAGTGTTGAGCAACAAGCATGGAAACTTATGAATCTCAAGAAGCTCACTGAAAATTAAAATCCACTTAATATATTGCGTGTCTCTCGCATGATTACATAGTAGGTGCATCTGGTCGACGCGTCCAGATTTCCATTTATGTGCAGCGTCCTTGGAAATTAAGGAGCAGACAACTACAGCGTCATGATTCGTACTACAACTATGTGGGGTCGAAATTGCATTTAGAGTTTATGTTAGAGGAAAAAACATTCCAAATGACATAGGAAAGGCACAAATGGTAGCAATGATTACTTTTCAGAATATTGAATGTGATTATGGTTCACAATGATCTACGAAGGCACATTCTTAATTTTTTTTGTATTTTGTCTTTATTTGGATTTTAATGGAGCTTCACCTCTCTTGATCAAATTCATCATTATGAGTTTCATATTTCTCCCTCATGTCCTATAATTATTATTCTTACATAGGTTCCAAAACAATTTTGTATGTTTCTTGGGAAAACAGCATGTACAAGTGTTTCCAATAAAACAAAGAAAGATTTTCAACTGGTTCACCGTTTGGTGGATTCATGTTTGATTTGCTTGGATTCCAGGCAGTCTTCTTATCAAACAGTAGTATTACACTAATTAAACCGTAGAAAATTATGTGAAACAAACAAAAAAGATTTTAAGATTAATGGATTAACAAATAAGGAAAAAAGGGTAAATCAAACCAAAACATTCAAGGAAAAAAATGGACTTTTTTTTGCGGAAGAAAAAAATTGGAAATTAAAGTATGAAACTGTTGATCAACAGCCAAGGTGATTTATCAATCTCAAGAAGCACATTGAAAATTCAAAGACGCTTATGATGCGTGTCTCGCATGATTACAGAGGAGGTGTATCTGGTCCCTGAGTTTAGATTTCAATTTATGTTCAGCGCAGACATTTGGATTACGTCCGGAAAAAACGAAATTTGTCCAAAATTCGCCCATTTCGTTTGGGCCCGGTATTACTAGAAAAAAGGGTCAACGGCAGCAACAACAGTGAGCGCGGCCACAAGCAGCCGAGCCTTGGCTCGGGGAGCACGGCAGCGGTAGATTGTTGGTCAACTGGATCGTTAATGTAATGTTAAGTATGATCTATAATGTTTTGATGCATGGTTCGTGCGATTCCTGCACTGCTTTATTTCAAATTTTGTGCAAAATTCTGTGAATTTTCGTGCAAATTTTAAATTTTGGTTTGTCATTTTCGTCCGAAATTTTCTACAATAAATCTGAAAAAGCGAATTTCGCCATTTCGCTCAGGCCCAGTAAATTTTGCATTGGAAAATTAACAAGCTGACGGCAGCATCATAATACGTGCTACAACTAAGTGGGGTCGAAATAGTACTTTAGATTTTAGGTTGGAGGACAAACATTCCAAATGACATGGGATCATTATGCTTATATCCGCTCGATGCTACATGTTAGGTTAATAAAAGCACTATTTATCGAAAATGACATGAGATTGTTTTTAAGTAGGGTGACACATAGGTGCCGACGAGGCATATGAATCCATCAACCTTTCACCCATAATCAAATGAGCTTGGCTCTTGTCCTACCTACGCTATCAGTTAATTGATTAGTTGGTTGATTGAGAAGAGCAGAATATATAAACAACGACAACAACACTCCAGTATATATATAGGCTGATGACAGGTTAAAGTCGTGCTTTGACTTAACCGGACACACTATACACTAGTAGACGAAAAAAGCAATTTTATTACCTATTTACAAATTAATAAAATATATGAAGCAAGGCCGGAGTGTTTTCTCTTAAAAGAAAGAAGCTACAGTACTATACTAGACGGATAGCCCTACCGTTTTATCTTAATATAAAAGAAGCAATTACCACCATATCAAAATATAAGATGTTTGAGGCCAGTTTTTTAGGCTTAACTAGCCTAAAAAACATATTATACTTTGATACAGAGGTAGTACTATATTAGAGTGATGCGGAGATAGCCTAAAAAACTAATCACCATGTAATCCAGTATTCCCTTGGTTTCCTATTCAGTGTCGCTGATCTAGCCTCCGTCTAAGCAGTGGGTGGGCGTTGGCCAGCCATGGATGGTACCCACTGATCAACAGAGGAGAATATACCTATGTATATGTACGTGCGCCACGACAAGAGTCCAAAACAGGTACTCCCTCCATTCCAAAATTCTTGTCTAAAATTTGTCCAAAAACGGATGTATTTAATACCAAAATGCGGTCACGCAATATTAATTGCTGCTACCACTAGAAACCAAACCATCCGATCCACCGGGATTTTTTTTTTTGAACGTTAACAGTAGCACAACCAAATTCAATGATCAGAAGAAGAGTAACAAGAACACCTTCAAAAGAGGAAAGCACCGCAAAAAGGCTAGTGCGGAAAGAAAAGAAAGAAAACAGAAACCCGCCGGCACCAACACAAACCGAAGATCGACCGGGATTCTTGCTGTCAAAAGTGCATTTAGGGCATGTACAATGGTGCTATCTTAGGAGTGCCACATAGGATAGATGATGAAGTGAAGGAGAGAGAACTCATAAGAAAGGCGTTGTCTTCTCTTATTTAAGAGAAGACAAGAGGTGGTCTCTTAGCATAATATGTCTCACCATATTTTTAGGAATTGCTAGTTATTGAAGATAAGGCTAAGAAATTACCCATTGTAGATAAATTTTTTTGTCATCTCTAAATCACATGCAAGATTTAAGATAAGATTATCTTATCAACCATTGTACATGCCCTTATGTAACGTGGTCACAGTCTTACGGACAATGGAGAGCACAGGTTGCCCTGTGACCACTGAGAGGAGAGGCAGCACGTCGCTTTGGACCATGTTCGTCCCCTGCCAGGTGCACGTTGAGGAGACGGCCCAGCTGGAAAGTCAGCAGGCAGGACGGGGCCACGGGTGCAGTGCCAACTACCAACTCGGCATGAATGACTGCCAAATGGGCCTGCCATAGTTCCACTAATGCAATCCAGCCCTACCAACGACGTCATGAGCTAATCTAATCCAGGGCTACCAGAATCTAATCCACTACTTACCGCAACAGGAAAGGAAACAGTACTTGGTCTAAGCTGTGGGTGGGTGGGTTTCTGGCCATCGGCTCGCTAGTGCGTGCCTGCGAGATTCACGACCGTCGCAAATATTTATTTATTTTGAACCGAAAGGGGTTTGCCCCACCCCAACATTTATTCAAGCCAAGCAAACCACAAACATAGACTGTTAACAGCGCTCAGCGGCAACCGGAGAGTAGCTGCCACAGAAGGAACAACCAGGGTTTTTTAACTATCCCTATTACAACAGTTTTAGGCAGTTCCAGGATGGGATACATAACTAGGTAAGCATACATGCCAGCTCACAATTAGATCAAAGCAAAGATGGCAAACTAGCAAAATGCAAACCGAGCGACGCTCCGGCGATTCATTAGTACCAAGCGATCCTAAGCAACTCCCCTCTTCGGTGGTCTAACAGCCTTAAGCACCCGAGTAAAAACGCACCCTGAGCCTCTGAACATAGGATTTTCCGTTGCCTTATCGTTGCACCTAACAGATCCAAAGCACAATGTATACTTCGCCATCTTCGCCCCTGGAAAACAAAGTCATTTCGCAAATACCATAAGCTCCACAAGGTAGCAGCAACAAGTATATATGTTCAAAGCTTCATAATGTTTCCTCCTCTTCCAGAAGGAAGACAGCAAAGCAAAAGAATCAGGTGTAATAATGTTAAAACTATCAGCTACTAGTTCCCATACTTGTGTAGCAACAATACATTCAAAGAAAAGATGTTGAATTGTCTCTGGTTCATCACAAAAGACACATGTCATGTCCTCTACATGCCTACGTTTGGCAAGATTATCTCTAGTCAAGCTCTTATTATAGTAAATCAACCACGAAAAGACATGGATATTAGGTGGGACTTTAATTTTCCAAATATCATCTTTAATCTCAGCAGACAACCCCCCAAAGTTGATTAATTTATGAAAGGACTTGACAGAGTACTTGCTGGAAGACTCCAACATCCAAACAGGTTGTTCTGGAGAGTCAGACAACACAACCTGCTTAACTAAGTTGATGAGTTCATTCCGTTTAATCATAGCTACCTCCTCTACACATCTCCTAAAAGTAAGTTGGAGTTCACCTCCCACCCAGACCTGTGCAAGAGTGGCCTCTTGTTGTTGATAGATATCAAACAGGTCCCAAAATGAAGTTTTAAGAGAACATTCCCCAATCCATATATCATGCCAGAAGGCAATGCTTTTGCCATCCCTAGGGACCCATCTGTAAAAGTTTTTATATGCTCCAAGGGCCCAGGACTGTGGGTCTACTTGTACCCCACCTCGTGACAGATTGACCCATTTGCACTTAAATAAAGGGACCTTAAAATCACGTCCGTAGTCAAGTTCCCATATGTCCACTATATA